GGGAAATCACAACGGTTGCCTTTTAATAAAGTTTTTCATAATAGTCCATACGCCTTATTTTTAATTCATTCTGATGTTTGGCAGTCTCCGGTTCTGTCTCATACAGGTTTTAAATATTATGTGTGTTTTGTGGATGATTTTTCCCGTTTTACTTGGGTTTATCCCATGCAGCGTAAGTCTGAGGTTGCTACTCATTTTCATCATTTTAAATTAATGATTGAAAATTTACTTGACCGCAAAATTAAGATTTTTCAGAGTGATGGAGAGGGTGAATTTGATAATACTAACTTGCGAACTTTCTTTACTAATCATGAAATTCTTTTTCAAAAATCATGTCCTGAAACTCCGCAACAAAACGGAGTGGCTGAGCGTAAGCATCGGCATCTACTTGAGCTTGCGCGTACTATGCTTATTACTGCTAATTTACCTGCGTCCTTTTGGGTAGATGTTGTTCTTACTGCTGTTTTTATAATTAATAGATTACCCTCTCCTACTCTACATGGCATGTCTCCTTTTGAAAAATTATTTAACTGCCAACCGGACTTATCGTTTTTACGAGTTTTTGGTTGTGCATGCTTTCCAAATTTTAATGCTACTTCTACCAATAAGCTACACCCACGTTCGGTCCAGTGTATGTTCTTAGGGTATGCGTCTGATTATAAAGGATACCGTTGTTTTGATCCTATTTCTGGTCGCGTATATATTAGTAGAAATGTGAGATTTTTAGAAACTATTTTTCCTTATTCTGATCTAGTACGACCTTCGGTGTCTTCATCTGTTGTGCCTTCCACTACTCCTCTTATCTCCCAATCTATTCGAGACCACAAGCCCTCCTCCCCCTACTGCTGCAACCTTTCCCAGATCATGACCAGCCCACTCCTGACCATGACCAGCATACATTCCATTCACCCGACCCCTCTTCTCCTTCCCAGCCTACTTCCAGTGGCTCTGCCGCTGGTACAACACACACCACACCGACTGCCGGGCCATCACCGCCCTCCTCTCCTCCAGCCGAATACAGTCCACCCTCTTCTTCCCCTCCGTCCGCACCCATATCTTCCATATCCCAGTCCGAGACCTCCCTCCCAGTTGTTAATCTTCACCCAATGCAAACCCGATCCAAATCTGGGATTTTTAAACCAAAAACCATTTTTACGTTGAGCACAGTTGTTAATCCACCTGATCCTACATGTTTTTCTCTGCCAATAAACATCTTAAGTGGAGAGCTGCTATGGCTGAGGAGTTTAATGCTCTTATCTCTAATCATACTTGGGATTTAGTTCTATTTGATGCAAATAAGAATGTAGTTGGGTCCAAATGGATTTATAAGACTAAATATTTGGCTGATGGGTCTGTTGATCGTTATAAAGCACGATTGGTTGCTCAGGGGTTTAATCAGCAAGCAGGTATTGATTTCACAGAAACCTTTAGTCCTGTTGTCAAACCTACTACTGTCCGTCTTGTTCTTACTTTAGCTGTTTCATTCGGTTGGACTATTCGTCAACTTGATGTTAAAAATGCTTTTTTACATGGCCATCTCACAAAGGAGGTTTATATGCTTCAGCCACCTGGTTTTGTTCATCCTCAGTTTCCTCATCATCTATGTCGGCTTCGCAAAGCCATATACGGTCTAAAACAAGCACCCCGTGCTTGGTTTCATCGATTCAGTAGTTTTCTTCTTTGTCATGGTTTTGTCTGCAGTCGGTCTGATAATTCTTTATTTATTTTTCGCAAAAATAATGATATTATTTATATTCTCCTCTATATTGATGATATCATTGTTACAGGCAATTCCCCTACACTACTTACTCATTTTTTATCTCTTTTGTCTAAGTGTTTTGCCATGAAAGATTTGGGGAATTTGCATTTTTTCCTGGGTATACAGCGACTAGGACCTCCTCTGGCTTATTTCTGTCTCAGCACAAGTATATATCTGATCTTCTTCTTCGTTTTCACTTGCATATTGTAAAACCTGTCCGTTCTCCTCTGCCCAGTCGCACTAAACTCTCCCTCACTGATGGTGAGCTTATTGCGGATGCTACGGAGTACAGAAGTATGGTAGGTACATTACAGTATTTGACTTTGACTAAGTCAGATATAACTTTTGTTGTTCACTTGGTCTCTCAATTTATGCATGCCCCACGTACTTCACATATGTTGGCTGTTAAGCGTATTTTCAGGTACCTACAGGGCACTTCTACTCATGGGCTTCTTCTTCAAGCTTCTCACGCACGCCCAGCTCTTAATGCCTACTCGGATGCCGATTGGGCTGGCTGCCCAGACACTGGCCGCTCCACATCTGGTTATGCCATTTTTCTGGGACCAAATCTGATCTCCTGGAGTTCCAAGAAGCAGCCTACCGTTTCCCGATCATCTACCGAAGCTGAATATCGTGCTGTTGCTTTCACTGTTCAGGATACTTTGCATGTTCGCTATGTTCTTTTTGAGTTGGGATTCCCTGTTCGACTTCCTACTACACTTTTTTTGTGATAATGTGTCAGCTTCATATCTCTCAGTCAATCCTATTCATCATGCCCGAAGCAAGCACATTAATATTGACTATCATTTTGTTCGGGAACGGGTGACTCATGGTGATCTTCGCGTCCAATACGTTCCTACTCAGGCTCAACTGGCAGATATTTTTACCAAATCATTATCCCCACAACGCTTTATTCTTTTACGTGACAATCTGCGCATTGTTTCCCCTGCACAGATTGAGGGGGTGTAATAGAGTAGTTTAATAATTATTTATTATTATGAACTCTCTTTGTAATTTTGACATTTATTCTCTATAAATATATCTATCAGGGTTACCTCTATGGTTAAGCATGGTAATTACATTCACAATATGAACATTATCAGCATTGTTTTATAAATCACTGTAGGCATCCGATTAATTCCTGCCTAGGCGCTTGGCAATGGCCGGGCGCCCCAATTTTAGGCTAGGCATCTCGACTTATTGGCTGGCGCCTAATAAGTGAATTAGTCGGTCGCCTAGGGCGCCTAGTTTTCCACACATAGAGATTAATCGGTCGCCTATGGCGTCTAGATTTGCCGAAGATTTTTTTCTTTTTTATTTTAGTTTTGTAAGAGATATATGTATCTTTAACTTTAACAACGCATATAAAGAAAGCTACTAGTTGTAGATTAAGATAAAAGCTATATATGTTTGTATGTATGTATGTATGTACTTTTAAATGTTGTTATTATTTAAAACGGAGTAATATTTATTAACTCATGAAGTTAAGTAAGTAGAAATGATATATTATTAAATGTGAAAACTCTATCATTCAAGCATATAAATGTGTATGTGTGTGTGCATATTTTTTTACACACACAAACACAATATTACTAATTATATTTATGCATAACACTGATATAACTATAATTTCTATATCACCGGCTAGTTCCTGCCTAGACGCTAGGCGCTGGACTGGCGCCCAACTAGCGCCTTTTAGAACACTGATTATCACCGGTGTGTCTTTCATTAAAATATCAAAAAACGATAACTCGTTTATACATTTGCCAATCATTACCAATCCAATATAAATCACACCCAAATAAAACAAGTGATGATATGAGTCTTCCCATATATCACTACGACACTAAAAAAAACAGTCACGCACCCATTAAAATTTGCAAAAAAAAAATGATTTAATTTTCCCTTTTCCAAAAGATATTGTTTAATAACTTGTTTTTAATGGTTTTGCGACTATCTTCTCTAAAAACCAGTGGACAGCACCTAGGGTTTTATCCTAAGGTTGAGTAGAGTTTTCCGGAGGCACCGATAGAAGGCTAGTCCGGAAATTTGTTCTAACGCTAGCATAACATAGTGGCTGGGTAAGCCTATATTCATTGGTTCACTCGACATAAGAGGAAGGCATCGTTTTCGTGAAGGCTCCAAATTGTCGGCCAAGACAGGTTTTTTTGCATAACGTCAACGATGGATGATCGTAATGGATGATCGAGGGGTTGGCTCAAGCCTGTGGTAAAATGGAAATGGATGAAGAGGATGAGATACTATTGGTGGATCGTTTCGGTAAAATATTTCTTGTGCATCACGGACCAATATTTCGGTAAAATCGCAATGGAACGCTCATGTACGAAGGTTGTTGGGATTCCAATATAGCTTCACGGTGACGAACGAGAGATTGAGTGGATGTTTTGCTTGATATGGCATGGATAATTCTAGATTCAAGTAGTGGAGGAAGAAGATGAATTCTTGATGATCCATCCCCCTCCTGAACCGCTGCCGTGGACGAACAGTATGCTAAGGTTTGGAAGATGACGCTTAAAATTTGGATTCGACCACTCCATTGGTTCATCGTATTTAATTCAATTTTGTTTTATTCAATTTAGTTGTTTAATTATGAACTATGTTCTTATCGTTACCCTTGACTTTGGGGGAAGTAAGTTTATCTTTTGACTTAGGTTGTTAGCTAGTAATGTGTGTGGAAGCAATCAGGTTGCTTTGGCCGATAATAGCTCAAAACTCTCGCATGTTCAACTATTAGTTAGTTAGTCTCACTTATTTTTGGGTGGACTATTTTATGCTTAATGAGGGAGTGAGGGGGCTTATTGGATATATGATCATTATGATGTTTAGAGGGGGATTTGGAATGCTGTTGTGATTGGTTGTTAGTTACTGTGATTGTAATATAAGTGATCTTCTTTCAAATAAAAAAAATGATTTTTGCCACTATAGTTTATAAATTGTGGATTTAATGAATCCTGAAGACCTGAACACAAGACTTTAAGAAAAATAAGGAGAAGTTTTTTTCACAATTTAACTCATACATAGCTTTTAAATGTTGGTCATCATTATTATGTAACTAATACTTCGAATGATAATAAAGGAATTAAAATTTAAGTAATATGATAATGTGACTAATATTAAATTGCAACTATATTACATATGCAAGTTTGTGATACTTATCTTACACGCCATTAAAGTTTAGAGTATTTAAATTATTTTCCCCAATTTAAAAATAGGATAGATTTATGGATTTGAAAATAGTTGAGAACATATTAAGCAAATAATCCTTTTGTTAGAATAAAATTCAACGCGGAAAATTAAAAATTACATTTGTTAATGAAAATTTGATTAATAAGATTGATGAGCTGAAAGTTTTACCAAATGAACTGCATTTAAATATTTAAATGTTTTGGCAGTATCAGGTTTTAAAGATGACGGTATTTTCCAAACTTGGCAGTAATTATTCCTATTTTGGGAATAAAAACATGACAGTACTATTTTGGAATTTTCAAACGTTTTTAGTCCTATTTCAGGAATTTTCCCAATACTTTATCCAAAGACTTCTCTTACACTAAGCACTTCGTAATATTTTTCGAACACATTATTTTCCACAAGAATTGGTTTTCTTAAACAAAGTTATCATCTAGAGAATGAGATTGAAGGAAAAACTTGTCCAAGTCAACGGCTCATCGCAGAAGCTCTTGGAAACGATGACCTGCAAAGAAAAACTGTTGTCCCGCTCCAAAATATGCAATTGGATTGTCTTTCTAATTAATATTTGGTGTGGCACAAAAAGACAGCATATTCATATGGCATAAAATATAAAGAATAAATAAAACTGTGATACCTATAAGTGAAAGAGTTGAATAAATTGAAAATAGGCAAAGGAAAAAAATGGGAAAAGGGGAAATCATGCGGATAACAAGGGATGAAAGTGGATGAAGCAAAACCAAAAGACAGAAAAATACGAAAGCCGAATGATGCTTCAGCAGACCCCTCAAATACTTTCGTGAAGTCTCTCTTTTGAAAAGTTTGTCTATTCAATTTTTCAAAACCTTTTGAAAATAAGGATAGCTTTTTTTGTTGCAAAGAAAGACAATTAAAAAGAAAAACTTTCTTCTGGTCATCACATGTAAAATTGATCTTGTGAAACATTTATTAAAAGAATGACAACATCTGATGGGAAGAATATAGCACTCATCTTTCTTCTCATACCTTGTTATGCTGCATTAGAGACAAGAACAGAAGAAGCAGAAGCTCTACTCAAATGGAAGAGCAACCTGTTCACATCCTCTCCATCTTCTTCACTCCATTCATGGTCACTTTCCAACATAACACATCTTCGTAAATGGAAGGGCATTGTATGCAATAATGACGGGGCTGTTTCAAAAATCGACCTTTCTAATGAAGGCATATCTGGGACTCTTGAACAGCTCAAATTCACTTCTTTTACAAGCCTCAAGCATTTCAACATCAGTGGGAACAACTTCACAAGATCAATCCCCCCCTCCATCGGAAATTTGTCAAGCTTGGTTTTCCTGGACATGAGCAGCAATCAGTTTGTTGGAGCCATACCGGCTGAGATTGGGAACTTAGTGGAGCTTCATTACCTCAGACTTTATGACAACAACATTACTGGCATTCTCCCAAGTGAAATTGGGAATCTCCAAAAGGTAGAACTCCCTCTTTATTTTTCCTTTTTTTCTTTTTTTTTAGAACTCCCTCAATCCCTAAGGCTAGTTAGATCTTGGAAAATACTAGGGAAATGAAAGAAAATGCTAAGAAATTGAGGTAGTGTAATATTTCTAATGTTTTTACTTTTGTATATATTTCTAATCATCCAAATAATAAAACTAAGGTGAAATCAGTGTATGAACTCCAGTTCTTTATCCAAATTTGAATTTACAATCCATTTCAAAAACATTAATATTTTCACTATAAATATTAAGTTTATGCCCCCATTTTTAATAGATTTTAGACTTTCGGGATGCTCATATTCATTATTTTGAATTTGTGGCGCAAACTCAAATTTGGCTTTAAAATGGGGCAAATTAACTTGGGAATATGATTGGAATAAAGCAAAATGCTCATCACCATTCAAACATCTTAAAACAAATAATAAAGTTCGGTAAGAGTCTCAGAGGTTTCCATCATTTGTCATGGTGGAGAAGGACCAAAAATGACATTATAGTTTTTTGTGAATCTCAAATTGAACACTTAAGTTTCTAGTAGACCAAATCAACACAAATTCTAACTTTTTCGTTGCATTTATGCCACCCGCTAACCTTTTCTGTTAAATGGGCGTTGGTTGAATCTCATTCCCAAATTAAAACAAAGTTAATTCCCAAATTAAATGGGCGTTGGTTGAATCTCATTAACACAAAGTTATTAAATAAAGGAGATTCCTTGATGAATCTCATTCCCAACTTAAACAACTTTGTTACTCATCGATTCAATTCCATCTCCAGTATCGCTTTCTCCGCCTCCAAATTCTCCAATTTTTCCTCAACCTCATTGGTCCGTTTATGATGGTTGCATTGGCCTGGTTCTCCTGTGATGCGGCGACCCTGTCCATCTCCAGAAAAGCGTCCATCAGATTCAATTCTGAAGTAAGAGCAGAATCGGATATGCCTGAACGATTAACCACGTTCTCGATTCCACACATTCTATCGGATTTGCTATCAGTGGAGGCGGCTGTTATGAACAAGCAAGAGAAGAGATATTGTTCATAACAGAAAATAAGAATTGATTGAGCAAGAAGAAGAATAAGCTTTGCATTGACCGAAAACTGTCCGTCCTTCGTTCGTTACATCAGTTTATAACAATCAGATGAACTACTAACAACCAAAACAATTACAGCCGTAGATGAGATGATGATGTGTCATCATCTCTTTATTTACATGTCATCAAAAAGAATATTACATGGCTTAACACTTCAGCAAATGTAAACAAGAAGGTTTAATCCTGACATTGCCCCCATCTTCCACCGAAGCTTGTCCACAAGCTTCAATCCCAGGAAACTGCTTCACTATTGTATCATAATCTTCCCATGTAATTGTTCCTTTTGACTATTCTCCTAGCTAACACTCCAGCAGGAATTAGTAATGAATCCCCTTCTTCATTCATAGCAGGAATGCTACTCACAACTTTATCAGACAAGCCCACCCTTTTCTTTAACAATGATACATGAAAAACTGGGTGTATTTGACTTCCTATTGGCAAATCCAGCCTATAGGCTACTGTCCCTACCTTCTCAATAATTGGAAATGGTCCACAATACTTGGGACTTAATTTCCAAATAGCAGATTTCCTCATGCTCATTTGCCTATAAGGTTTGAGTTTCAAATAAACCCAATCTCCAATTGCAAACTCCCTTTCACTTCTACCTTTGTCAGCCAATTCTTTCATCCTGTTCCTGGAAATATTGAGCTGGTCCTTTAGTTTTTCAGAGATCATTTGTCTTTGTTGTAACTCTTGTTCTACTCCTACCACAGACAATTCTCCATAAGGCCCCATATTAATCAGAGGTGGCTTATATCCGAATAAAGCCTCAAAAGGACTCATCCCAATGGAGGTGTGATGGCAGCTATTATACCACCATTGGGCCAAAGAAAGCCATTTACTCCAAGCCTTAGGAATTTGTCCAGTCATGCATCTCAAGTAACTTTCCAGACATTGATTAACTCTTTCTGTTTGTCCATCAGTTTGTGGATGGTAAGCTGTACTCAAATGATGTTGCACACCTAGAGATTTGAACAGCTCCTTCCAAAATAAACTGGTAAATACCTTATCTCTATCAGATATGATAGATTCAGGTAATCCATGGAGTTTGCATATGTTGTTTAGGAATACTGAGGCTATTGTTGAGGCAGTAAAAGGATGATTCAAGGCTGTGAAATGAGCATATTTTGTGTACCTGTCCACAACAACGAATATAGCCTCATGGCCATTGGATTTAGGTAACTTCTCAATAAAATCCATAGTGACATGTTGCCAAGCTTGATTAGGAGTTGGTAATGGTTGTAATAGCCCAGGTGATTTTACATTCTCATGTTTACACAATTGACAAACAGGACAGATGCTGACTACCTCCTGAACTGTGAGTCTCATATTAGGCCACCAAAAAACATTCTTTACCCTTTGCAGGGTAACTAATACCCCTGAATGTCCTCCTATTGCACTCTCATGTATCATGGTGACCACTTTGCTTCTAAAATCACCTGCTGCCCCCACATATAATTTACCCTTGTACCTTAACAGTCCATTACAATAAGAAAAGTAGCTCATATTGTATGGTGTTGATACACAGTGTAAGATTGCTTCCTCAGCTTCCATGTCCCCTTTATAACTCAAACTCAATTCTTCTTGCCAAACTGGTTGGATAAGGGTTATAGTCGAACAACTATTGATCACATTATCCTCTTGCTGATCTCTCCTGGATAATGCATCTGCCACTTTGTTCTCTAACCCTTTCTTGTATTCAATCTTGTAATCATAACCCAAGAGCTTGGTAAGGTATTTGTGTTGAATAGGAGTGGAAATTCGTTGATCAACTAGATATTTGAGGCTGACTTGATCTGTTCTGATTATAAATGGAGCGTGTAATAAGTATGCTCTCCATTTTTCAATAGCTAAGAGTATAGCAAGGAACTCCTTCTCATAGATGGACAGTCCCAAATTCTTTGATCCCAAAGCCTTACTCACATATGCCAAAGGATGACCTTCCTGCATTAAAACTGCTCCCAACCCACTATAACATGCATCAGTCTCAATTATGAAGATTTTACTAAAGTTAGGCAATTGTAAGATAGGTACACTACACATTGCCATTTTTAGCTCTTCAAATGCTTTTTGAGCCTCATCACTCCATTTGAACATTCCTTTTTTAGTTAGATCAGTCAGTGGCTTGGCTTTGATCCCATATTTAGAGCAAAACTTTCTGAAATATCCAGTCATCCCCAAGAATCCTCTTAATGCTTTAAGAGTAGAAGGAATAGGCCATTCCATAATACTCTTGATTTTTTCAGGATCTACAGCTACGCCTCTGGAACTGATGATATGGCCCAAGTATTCCACTTGTTGCACCCCAAAAATGCACTTGGATCTTTTGGCAAATAATGTATTCTGTTGCAGTACCTCAAAAACTTTCCTCAGATGCTTCTTATGGGTCTCCAAATCTGGGCTATATATTAGTATATCATCGAAAAAGACCAGCACAAACTGTTTCAAGTATTTGCTGAATATATTGTTCATAAGAGTCTGAAATGTAGCTGGGGCATTGGTTAGCCCAAAAGGCATCACAACGAATTCATACAACCCACTAGCAGTGATAAAAGCAGTTTTCTCAATATCTTCTTGCTTCATTCTTACTTGGTGATAGCCTGCTCTTAGATCAATCTTAGAATAGACAGCTGCTCCATGTAGTTCATCTAATAAGTCCTCAATCAATGGAATGGGGTAGTTATTTTTTATGGTAATAGCGTTGAGTTTCCTGTAATCAACACAAAATCTCCATGATCCATCTTTCTTCTTAACTAATAGAACAGGACTGGAATAGGGGCTATGGCTTGGTTGTATCACTCCAGATTTCAGCATCTCCTTTATTAACTTTTCTATTTCTTGTCTCTGAATGTATGGATATCTATATGGGGCTTGTTTAAAGGAATTCTCTCCTTCCTTTAAATCAATTTGATGTTCACAGTTCCTTATAGGAGGCAACCCTTTAGGTTCCTGAAAAACCTCTCCAAACTCATAGAGAATATCTTCTACTTCTTTATTACTGTCACTGTCAGATTCCTTCTTAATGGTTGTTATCATACAGAAACATTGAGATATAGTCCCATTCTTCTTATGTAAGAATTTTTTCATCCTTGCCCCATTTATCATCCTCACTGATATCTCTGATTGTATCCCTGAAACAACTACTTTCTCCCCTTGATGATCAAATGTTATGGAGTGATTATCATAATCCAACAGAATAGGTCCCAATTTTTTCATCAAGTCAACTCCCAAAACCATGTCATATCCTCCCAATGGCAGCACTCTAACACTGGCTGCAAAACTATGTCCTGCCATTTCCCATTTCAGATTTGGACATTTAGAGTTGCATTCAATTCTTCCTCCTCCTGCTACTGTCACTTGTAAAGGATTAGTGATTTCAATGTCACAATTAATCCTTTTGGCTGCTCCAGGGTCTATAAAACTATGTGTGCTCCCAGAATCTACTAAAATAGTGAGGTTGTTATTTTTAACCTTCCCCATCAATTTAATAGTATCTGTGGGAACCTGCCCCCTTAATGCATGTAAAGAGACCCCAAAATTTACCTCCTCTTCTTCACTGTCTTCTTGTAGTAATGGTTCAGGCAATTGTTGCTCTTCTTCTGTCATTAAGATCACAAAAATCTTCTTGCATTTGTGTCCAACTGTATATACTTCATCACAGTTGAAACACAGTCCTTTTCTTCTCCTGGCATCTAACTCCTCTTTGCTCAACCTTTTAATTGGCAATGCCTTTTCTGAAGTTACTGCTCCCTTTATTTCACTCCCTACCTTGGGCCAATTATTCCGCATTGTTGTTTTTCCACTCTTCCCAACTGCTTCTAGTAGAGATTCCTGTTTCTTGGCTATCATGAAAGCTTGATCAAGATTTTCAGGGTCAACAATCTCTACCATGTGTCTAATTTCTTCTTTTAGACCACTGAGGAAGCTTTTGAGGAAATAATATTCATCAAGATATTTATTCCTTTGCAACATGAATGATTTCAGTTCAGAGAATTTGTCAATATATTCTTCTACTGCTCCTTTCTGTCTCAGCTTATTAAATTCTCCGATTACATCATTTTCTTTGGAAAATCTGTCAAGAAACAATATAACAAAAGCATCCCAGCCCATAGACTCTTTTCCAACTATCCTGTCCATATACCAATTTTCCACATTTCCTTCCACATACAACCCAACTAAAGTAATTTTCTCAAAATCAGACATGTTATGGATGAGGAAGTAGCGTTGGCATTTACGAATCCATCCCCTGGCATTCTCACCATTAAAGCGAGGAAAGTCGATTTTAATTCCTTTATTATTCCCTGGTGTTGAAATCAATCCAGCATCATGATGTTTATTTGCACGATCAATATGAGGACTAGGGTTAATACCTTTAACCGCAGCAATGATTTCCTCAAATCGTTTATCTTGTGCCTCTGTAAGTCGTTGGAAATCAGTCCTCTGAACTTCTCCTATCTTTTCCATTTCCGTTCGTATGTTGGTCAACTCCTGTTCCAGCTGCGTAATACGCTCCGTATTGCTCGGTTTTGCCATTAATGGTGTTTCTGAGCTCTGATACCAAATTGTTATGAACAAGCAAGAGAAGAGATATTGTTCATAACAGAAAATAAGAATTGATTGAGCAAGAAGAAGAATAAGCTTTGCATTGACCGAAAACTGTCCGTCCTTCGTTCGTTACATCAGTTTATAACAATCAGATGAACTACTAACAACCAAAACAATTACAGCCGTAGATGAGATGATGATGTGTCATCATCTCTTTATTTACATGTCATCAAAAAGAATATTACATGGCTTAACACTTCAGCAAATGTAAACAAGAAGGTTTAATCCTGACAGCGGCCGACGATGGTGATGATGTCTTGGCAGCCAGTGCCTTAAGCATGCGACACTCACCTTCAAGCTTGTTCGTCCGTTTTACACTCTCCAAACGCTGCCTACTGGCGGGTTCGGCAGCGAGATTGATCATGATTGCTTCGGATCTAGCGGTTTCTAGTTGAGATTGGAGTTCGGAGAGCTATTTCTCGAGCTGAGACTTTGTGGACTCCCATTGTGAGGATGTGGTGCATATGGCTTCCAAAATCTTCTCTTCATGATCTTCCCTTGTTTGTCGAAGATGACGGTAGATTAGGAAGACATTACATCTTTTGCTCTCTTTTTCCTTTATTTTCAGTTTCTCGGAATTCAGAAACGTCCGTTTAAAGCCAACGTTAGTGGATGGCTTAAATGCAACTAAAAAGTTAGAATTTGTGTTAATTTGGTCTACTAGAAACCTGAGTGTCCAATTTGAGATTAATTAAAAACCTTAGTGTCGTTTTTGGTCTTTCTCCCTTTGTCATGGAGCCAACGACTCACTATTTTTTGACTTGGGAATTAAAAGCAAAATGGTTCACTAAATTGTCTGCGCTTCTTTGTTATGAAGCAGCAACAATCAGTCAATGCAATTTTCGACGCGATTTTCATTGTGGCTCATTCGTAAACAATCTCTTTGTGCTTTAGTACAGGGTAAAACTATGTACATCTGACCCCCTTACCCCATCATAGGTGGGAGCTTTTGCGACACTGGGTTAATGATGATGATGAGTAAGAGTCTAACTGGTCTAAATTTCTTATGTGGATGATATTTTTACTTATGTGGGGTGTTTATCCTTTATAGGTATGGTTCTTGGACCTAGGAGGAAATTTCTTGCAGGCTCCAGCTGACTGGTCTAAATTTAAGAGCTTTCCAGTTCTTAAACATCTCAGTTTCACACCAAATCAGTTAAGATCAGGGTTCCCTGATTTCATTCTAGGTTGTCGGAACTTGACATATCTTGAATTGTCTATGAACCATTTGAATGGGCCTATCCCGGTGTCATTGTTCACAAATTTGAAGAAGCTTGAGCATCTTGATCTCTCTCTGAATGAATTTTCAGGAGTAATCCCATCTAATATTTCCGAACTCAAAGCTCTTAAACTCCTTGATTTAAGCACGAACCGTCTCAATTCAACTATTCCATTAGAGCTTGGTCTCTGCACTGATCTAACTTATCTGTCTCTGACAGAAAATTCACTCTATGGACCATTACCTTCATCTCTGCCGTCATTGAACAAGTTGGTAATGTTAGACTTATCAGAGAATCTTCTTTCTGGTGATATTCCATCCCAAATTATCTCAAACTTGACAAACCTTGAAAATCTCTACTTGTACCAAAACCAATTCACAGGCACTATTCCAGAAGAGATAGGAAACTTGGAGAATTTGGTTGAACTAGACCTGTCAGCAAATACCCTGTCTGGTCAAATCCCAAAGACAATCGGAAACCTGACGAGTCTAAATTTTCTAGGCCTTTGGATCAACCAGCTCAGTGGAACCCTTCCGTCTGAGATTGGGAAGCTTACTTCAGTCAATTTCATTGATTTGGGTGAAAACAGATTGCATGGAGAGATACCTGTCACCATTTCAAATCTCACGAGTTTGAAGATTATTTATATGTATAGTAATAACTTCAAAGGCAATATTCCAAGAGCCTTTGGAAGTAAGAGTCCCCATTTAACCAATGTTAGCTTTGCAAATAACAACCTTTCAGGTAGTCTACCACCTAAACTATGCAGTGGTTTTGCTCTTCAACATTTGACAGTTCATGGGAACCAATTCAGTGGGGAGTTGCCTAGTTGCATCAAGAAATGCAAAAAACTTCACAGAGTAAGGCTTGAAGGAAATAAATTCCAGGGGGACATTTCACAAGCATTTGGTGTGCACCCAATTCTCGATTTTATGTCTCTGAACAATAATCAGTTTGGGGGTGAACTCAAATCAAACTGGGGACAATGCAAGAAGCTCACTAACCTGGGAATGTCCGGGAACAACATTTCCGGTCATATTCCACCTGAATTAGGTAAGCTGACTCAGCTCCATGTCCTTACCTTGGATGCAAATGAATTGATAGGGGAGATTCCTCCAGAACTTGGAAACTTGCGACAGTTGCTAACTCTCAACTTGAGCAAGAATAATTTGACTGGACAAATCCCTAGGAATGTTGGAAACTTAACAAGCCTCGAGAATCTTGATCTTTCGAATAACAACCTGAATGGAGAAGTCCCAGGAGAGCTTGGAAATTGTGAGAGCTTATTGAGCTTGAATCTCAGGAACAACATCCTATCTGGTGAAATTCCCCCTCAGCTTGGAAGCATACACGGATTGAGTATTCTATTGGACCTTAGCAATAACTCAATTTCTGGTACAATCCCGTCAAATCTGGAAGTGCTTGTTGCACTGGAGAATCTGAACCTTTCACACAACCGACTCTCTGGTCAAATCCCAGCAACTCTATCTAGGATGGTGAGCTTGCAAGTAATGGATTTCTCATACAACAATTTGTCTGGTCTAATTCCTTCTGAGGGAAAATTCCGTAGTGCAAAAGGAGGTAGCTTTATTGGGAATTCCTATCTGTGTGGAAATGTAGATGGGTTTAGCCCCTGTAATCAAGAAGTTGAAAGGCTCGAAAATGGTTATGACAAGAGAAGAGTGTTCATCGGCGTCCTCATTGCAATAGTCGGCTTTGTGCTTTTGGCAATCAGTGCAACTTTTCTTCTTCGTTTTCATCGAAAGAGAAAGGAGCAGGCTCAGCCATTTCCAACAATCCAGGTGTATCCCGATAGTAATCGGTAGGTATCGATCCGGAGAATGCCAAAATGAGCGAATGTGGAGATAAGACATAAAGACTAGACAAGTAGACATATCTTAAAAACAATTTTCATACTTTTTTCATGCACAAACAAGTAGACAAAAATGTGCACAAACACCTTTTTTTCATGCAAAGAAGAGTAGATGTATGAGATAAAATATACGGAGTACATAGGGTTCATTTGGTTCAAATAAGGTTAATTTTCCATGAGAATGTCATATTGTTGGGTATGTTTGATTGATGTAAATGTATTCAATCTATATCGCATTTATGATTGGTTAAAATTAAGGGAATGCGACATTGATTTGTTTGGTTGACTTGGTGAATTACTTCAATACCCTTTAAATATTTTCTTTTAACACAATAAATCACTTCAACTTACATTTGAAGTAATTTAAATTAAACAAATAATGAAACATCTCAATAATAAATAAAATCAACACTAATTGAATACTCCTTCCATCCCCCCGAAATTTTCTCGTTTTGTCTTTTCGAGAAATCCTCCTAAGACTGATTGCAATGGGGGTGTGAAGACACCCAAATCTCAGGTTTTCACCCCCAAAACTGCTGCAACCGGAACAAAAAAAATGTATACGGCGGGCTCAGCGGTAGTAGATAGAACCAAGGGGAGCGACCTGTAGGAGAGCAATCGCCTTTGGCGCGGAGGTGACCAGCACGAAGGTGGGCCTGGAGCTGAGACAAAAGGAATGGTGGAGCATGATGTGTGGGTTTTGGCAGATTGCGTGAAAATGGTCTGTGTGACTTGCGTGATCCCCTTTTTATTTCAAAGGATCTTCGTGACCCCCCCCCCCCCCCCCCCCCCCCCGATGCTGCTGGGACTTTAAATTTCAATTGATTTAAATTCAATATTACACAACAAGCAGTGGCGGATTTATGTTTTAAGATTTGGGTGTTCATTTTTTGTACAATTAAAATTTGAAAGAACAAAAAATAATTAAATTAAATTTATACATATATACTAGTATGTTTTTCAAAATATTAAGTGTTCAATTGAACACTTATGCACTATATTGGCACTGCCACTGACAACAAGTTCATAGTATATAAAATAAAAAGATTAAATTATAGCAGAAAACCATCGACAGTTTTAAATTTATTTCAAACTGAACTCAAGTACGCATTTTTAATACTTACAAAAACAATTAATTCACATTTTTTTACATTGGAATGTTTGAGTTTTTAAATATATTAATTATTGGTCAAAATAAAATTATATATCACATGAATGATGTGTAATAAAATAAGTAAGGGTTTATGCATTTTATTTAAAAAAATGTGCTGATTGGGTATCTTGACGGTGCTGGGTTGCAGATGAAAACTGAATTGATCGAGTGAATATGTATAAGCTGGAGGGAGATTAGATTTATTGACGGGCTGGGTTGTGGTTAGCCTAATATTGTGTCATACCAATATTCTAAATCATTTTTACTTTATTTTTACTTTATCAATTCAATATCAACCACATAAACCCACTTTTCTTAATAATCATGTCCCCTCCTCTTGTTCCAGTGTTTGTGAAACGGGGATAGTAATTTTTAAGAAAAGTATATATGTTTATTTTCACAAATGACAAACAGGGACGGAGCGAGGTGTTAGGTAGACCTGTACAAAACCGGGCCGGGCCGCCCGGCCCACCCAACTGGCCCGCACAAATGGGCGGGCTTGGGCATATATATTTACCCACCGGGCCGGCCCGAGCCCGGGCCGCAATAACATATGGGCGGGCTTGGGTTAGGGTGTAGGCCCGTTCGGGCCGATAAGCCCGGCCCGCTACATTTAGTGTGCATATATATATATATACACTAATTTATTTATTTATTTACATGTACACATGTATATTTATATTTACTAATATAATTTACCTTTATACATATTTATAGTTTATTAGATGTAAATTTAAGTTTTTAGTTCTTAACAACTAGCCCAACTAATATAGTATCTATTTTTGTACTTAAAGACAATACTTTTTGCTTGAAATTTAAATTTTAGATATAGTTTCTAATTATTATTTTTATGTAAGTATTTTTTTTGTACGTGGTGAAAGGCCTATAAATATTATAAGCGTATTAACAATTTTTTAAATGCTGTCATATTATTTTTAAAGTATTTAAAAAATTATATAATTTAGAAAAATTTAAAGTTTTTCCGGGCCGGGAGGCCCGGTGGACTACCCGGCCCGCTCTTACGGGCGGGTATGGACATGAAGTTAGGCCCGTTTTTGCGGGCCGGGCCGGGCCCGCCCACACATGATGGGCAAAAAATTTATAAAAAGCCCGGCCCGAGCCCGGCCCGAACCCGTTTTTGTGCAGGTCTAGTGTTAGGTTATGGTGTCAAATGACACCACTCAAATTATATATTTATTGTATATATATATGTATATATAAATTGAAAGTGTTAAAAATGACACCACTCAAACTATATATTTAGTGTATATATGTATATAGTAATTGAAAGTATTAAAAGTGACACCTTGTGGCATACACTTGAAATGACTCCTTATGACATACACTTGAAATGACTCCCGCTAGTCGCTAGATAACCGTCTCCTTGTCTCTTTTTTAGCCTCGTGCAATGGATTAGGGGTGGACAAAAATACTGAACCGATATGGTACCGGAACGAAAAACGGGATTTGAAACGGATCTCAATTTTTTTGTTCCGAACCGAACCGTACCGATTCTAAACAATGCCATGACCGGTTCTCATAAAATGAGAACCGAAACCGGACTGAACCGGACCGAAGTATGATTTAATTATTTAAATTTACATTTGTACCATTATTTTGACGAGTGCCTTTACATTTTCACCGTCTTTGCTAGTTCATAGGAATCCTGGAATCGGACCGATGTATGATTTAATCATTTAAATTTGTACTACTATAATTTATCTGAAATTTATTAATTATGTAACACTACCTTCGTCCCAAATTGATTTGCAAAATTAACTTGTTTTTTGTCAAACAGATTCATTTTATTCACTTAACTAGAATGTCAATTTTTAATTATATTTAATTTGGAGCTTGCAACTTTGAAGAAATTTCAATGTAGTTTCTGAATATGTTTGTTTTAATTATTAAAAATTGAATTAATCATCAATGAAGAGAATTTAACTCTAACATTGGTTGACCAAAAAATATTGACTTTGCATGTCAATTTGGGATGGAATGAGTATGAAAATTGATAAATTTTGTAGATTTTTGGAGGATGACTAAACTTTAATTGTCTCTTAAACACTTGGAAAAAGTGGCATTGTTTGGTATTGGTATGGCATGATACCGTCCCGTTTCAAAATGAAACCGTACCGAACGGGTTTAGGTCTAAGACCGAACCGAACCGAACCGTTTGAATAGTAACGGTACGGGTATGGGTTCGGCCAAATATCGGACCGGACCGGACCGCGCCCACCCCTACAATGGATGGAGGGAAGAAGAGAAGCTGCAGAATCGGGCAGTCAAAGCTCACACAAGACTACAAGTAGCAACCAACTCCTTCTCAACCCTCTAACCTCTCTATTAGTAAAGTTTGTAAGCCCGCTAACTTGTAAAAATGAAACCCCTTCAAAATTCAAGAAATTATATAGCAAAAGAGGAGGAATTTTGTCAGTTTATTCGTGTATAATGCACTCAAACGTATAATTCACGTATAATATTCCCGTTTATGAATTTTTCATAAAATTCTGAAAAATTCACGTACTCTAAGGATAAAATGTATAATACACGTACCGTACGTATTGATATGTATTTTATTCACGTATAATACTCTCGTTTATGATTTTTTCCATAAAATTCTGAAAAAACTCACGTACTTTAAGGATAAAATGTATAATCCATGTACTGTATGTATTGATACATATTTTATTAAAAAGCACACACCATTAGACGGAAGCCTAATGCAGTGATTCCACTGAAACGAAATGTCTAGCTGCTTATATGTTCGTTAATTGTTTAATAGTCATTACATTTAATAAAAATTAGCTTCTTAAATGCGTAATCCATTTCGATATTACTATTGTACTACTACTGTATTACTTTTGTTCTCCACCCATACCAAGACCCCAAAGAGATCGAATAATGTTGTGGCGGCTCACCAAACTCACGGTCACACTAATATCAACTATTCTCTAATAATATATCTATACTTCTACTCAAATAGGCAATGCCATTTTTATTACCTATTGTACCTATGCATTCAAATCCGTATATATGAAAAAACTATTCCGTACATTTTAAATTGTTGAAGAATGTGGTGCAAATGTTAAATAATTTATTTATATCATTAAATTAGTGCATAAGACACATATTATATGCCGTATTTTTAAATTGGGTAATGTTTAAAACACGTTCGTATCTTTATATATTTCACGAACGTATGAAACATATATTAAGCCGTATTTTATATAATTGTATCGTATTATACACAAACGTACGTATTATTGTATTATTCACGAACCGTATATTATTAACAAAATTGTCTCGCCCCTGGCGGCAAGAATAAAAAGAAAATAAAATGAAGAAGAAGAAAGAATGAGGAAAAGAAGAGCAGAGCAACACACAAAAAAGAAAAAGCAAAAGAAGAAGAAAGAGGAGTTGTAGTAAAGTCCTTAAAGGTAATTAGGGTTTGTAATAGTGAATGTTTGGTGACAGGGATCCTAATGGTATAAAGTAAACGGCCCATCTGTGTTATCTCATCTTTTTAACGTGAGAGTTAAAATTGTACTTAATTAACACCAAAAATAAAAAAGTACTTTGTTGCATCACTTGCAAGATGATGTACTCTTAATGCTAGTAGAGACAAGTTAAGGTACTAATTTGACATTTTTGTCTATATATGGGTTCGTAACCTTAAAATTTACAACTCTCAAGAAGGAAGGATTTTTTAAATTATAACAAGGCAGCCAGGCAGGCAGGGGCGAGCCGGTGCTGGCGCCACTCCTTCGCCGGAAACTTTTTGCTACTCCCTCCGTCCCAAAATTATCTTCATAGTTACTATTCACATGGTCAACTC